TCATCAATTCTAGTAGCACTACCATCATTGAGAACATTGAGTCCAAAAGTTCTGATCAAACGTTCCCATATCATTCCCCTTCGGTCACATCGATCCGAACCCCAAAGCATATGACGACTGTTGGCATCCGTACAGATAACCATGGGCTCCGGGAGCTGCTTAATCAGACTTTCCAACTCTTCATATTGTAAAGGTTCAGTGGGGGGTAGGTAAAGAGAACAGATGTGCATGGTTGAGCTGCCCATTCGTATGGAGCAGGCCACAGCTTGTAAGTTGGTGTTCACAGTTATCAGTCTGTGAGGAATCCTGTTAGTAACATATATACACACACCTCCCTGTCTCCTTTCATCATTGCCAAAAACATCATACCTTGTGTAATTCGGCAAGTTAAAATCATATTCATCTGATGGAAGGAAGTGAGTTTCCTGTAAACAGTAAACATCACATGTTTGGGTCATAAGGAAGGGTTTGACAGAAGCCCATTTTCCAATCAATGCTCTACAATTCCATTGCATTATTTTCACCATGGTGTAGTATGTGTTTGCCTCTAGAGTTTAGAGAAGTTTTTTTGTTTTTTGTTTTGTTTTTTTGTTTTTTGTTTTGTTTTTTTTTTGTTTTGTTTTTTTTAAAGAAAAGAAAAACTAACTAGCTACTAGTGAATATACTATTCACTCCAATCAGTTGTCTGATGCCGCTTGTGAAATATCTACCCATGACTGCTTTCTTGTCATGGGTTTGTCCCCTGCTCTTTCATTGGATATGCCTGCTCTCACAAGCGGGGGAGCGGGGGGGATGGTATCTGGACAAGCAGATACCTGTGGTTTGGTTTTGCCTTTTCCTCGTCCTAAACCCTTTTGCCTTTGTACAGTCTGCCATTTGGCAGCATCTTTGGTCTTTTTCACTGTGTCTATTGTCTGTGTCAAGTCACATGTCTGAATCATTTCGTCTCCCTCATCTCTTTCCATGGGTTGCGTAATTTCATGAGTTTTCCTCGTATCATTCACCTCCCCTTCATCACTGTCTGTTGTAGCATCTCCCATTGTCTCATCACCTCTCGATCTCTGTAATACATCCCTCTGGGTTTCCTTTACACGTACTGTGTCTGTTGTACTAGCAGCACCTTTAGAGGTACTTTCTGTGATCTGCGACTCAGTCAGTTTTTTGAGCAATGTCATCATCTCATCTACCTTCTTCTCTAGCTTTTCTACCTTTCCTTTCAACTCCTCATCCTCCTGCCTTCCAGTAATATGTGGAGTGCGCACAGTGGCAGCATAATTTCTGAGAACAGGGGGCTCATGGCGGTCATCATACAGTTTCCTGGCTTGGCTGAAAGATACCTCCTCTTCCACTTTGATCCTACATATTTCTTTCTCTTTCTGCCATGTTTCACAGTCATGAGATTGACACCCATGATCAGTGCGTCGGCAGTTGATGCACTGGGGCGTGCATTCTCCCTCATGAGGCATTTGTCCACAGTTTAGACATACCTTGTCTTTAGTGCATCGCTCCTGAGCATGCCCAAATTTGCCGCACCGGTAGCACAGCAGGGGGTTTGGTATATACGTGTGCACGTGGTATGTCACATAGTCCATTTGCAGTTTTGTTGGGCAGGATGGTCTGTCAAAGGTAAGTAGCAGGGTTGGGGTCCCTTGTGTTTGTCCATTCACTTTCCTGGTGAAGCGCTTTGCTCCAACAACCCCAAAGTCCTTTAGCCACTGGACCACCTCGTCCTCGCTAAGTTCTTCTAAGTCATATGCACGAATAGTGCCCCGTGATGTGTTCAGCCTTTCATCTTTCAATACTTCACAGTCCTCATTTGCAAATTTCCTAACTTTCAGAAACTTTTCAGTTTGGAGAGCATGTTTCGTTTTGACGAGCAAAGATCCATCAGTCAAAAAACTAGCCTTTTCCAACTTGTCAACATCCCCCAGGACACCTCTAACACCTAACTGCACCCATGGCCAGCCTCTGGATTTAAGTGTTTTCCCCGAGAGGAGTTTGATTTTGAGGTACGACCCGGAGTTTTCATTGTTTCCTTGATCGAAAAAAGATTCATCAGCCCTCACCCGTTTACCGGGCCTTCCCGGCTTCATTTTACATACCGTTGTGCACTGGGATTTTATAAATGATGAACGAATTGAAATTAAACAAAACTGAAACCAAAAACTTAAAGATCCAAGATGTCTTCCACCGCCACGTCACCACTAGAAAGTCAATCAGCTGTTCTTGCCACGTCCTCCCCGCAAGAAGCAAGCCGCCTTGTGTATAAATATGAATATGAATATGAATATGAAGCGCAATGTATTGAAACACGAGCGCCAGCTGCGCCGCGCTTCAGCGCAGCCATATCCTAGGATAATTTTCGGTATATAGTAAAAAGCTCCCAGTTCTAGTTGTTTTTCTAGATGATATAGTATAATTCTAGTATATACTAGGAAAAACTTTGGAGTACCCGACTCTTTAGTGCCCTGGTTTTGCCATTTTATCTCAAACTTTATCCAGAATTCATCAAAGCTGACACACGTTTCAAGAGCTTGAGGACGCGGTGGACACTGGAAGTTATAATTGTGTGATATAATAAGAAAATGCCAGGTAAATCATTCCTTATAGGTAACAGGCCGTTGTGTCGGTTGAAAGTGTAATTTGTGTGACTAAAAATACGCGTTGCTATTCTACAGCAGTAAAGTCCACGTAGCGTGCTTTTAACACGTGCGTAATCGCACGTTTTCGGCATTATCCCAGCCAGCCATACTTTCATTTGCAGGCCCATAACTTTTCAACGTGCTGTATAAATTTCAAATAGGCAGCACACTTATGCAAAGACATGCTAAAGATTACTTGACCGAATTGGCCAGACAAACGGTAGCATAATGAGTAAAAAATGCAGCTTCAAAGGCGCATGTAGTACAAGGGAAACGTAGGTACCTTGAAAACGCTCTTGGCGCCCTCACAGTCGAAGTATTCCGAACGACGACTCGTAACAAACATGCGATAATTGTAGTCACTTAAGCTTCAGAGCATCACTGACAGGTGGCATCCATGTCTTACGGTTTTCGAAATATCTCGAATTTCGGCTTCGCCCTAACTCCGGCATTGCCCCAACTTCCCCTAGTTCTGAGTGTGTGTCTTGGGTCAACCGTTTTGCAAGTGCAAAGTGATGCGTCTGCTGAAGGAGGTTGTCGTCAATCCTATGTAAGTAGGTACCATTGTTTCGGAGCGCACAGTCTCCGAAGGTGCATGTGTATTGGTAAACTACATCGGATTGTTTTAGTACTGACCTGTCTTGTGACACTCGGCAGGTTGTTTGCCATCACGAGTGAGTGGGTGGTTGGGCTCTGATAATAGATTATCACCTATCCGTGCTTCTATCCTCAGGATACTGAAATCCTTCTCCTCCACGCCACAACCCTCCTCCGGGCTGGACAGGCAACTTTATCTCATGCGGGCTGCTCCCTTGGAGCGGCACCGCTGCTCCTGAGGGAGCGCACCCCGTAGCCGGGTGCAGTGAGTGCCTTGGGGCTGGGTGGCCTGTCCTCTGGACGGGCTCAGCCCCGGCGACTCACTAGGATGCCTGCGCAGACCAATGTCTCCCCCTAATTCCTATCATCCTTCCGGCTCTGCAATGGTCTTGTCGACCGAAAGGGCCTAACCCAACAAAACAAACAAAGATAATAGATTATCAGTTTCAAGAGGTTACTGGAGTTTACGGGCTTGCAGAATTTGCTCACGATGTTACGGAGAACCTTTTCGTCTGTCTTGTAGGCCAGGGACATGCTGTTCTTGTAAAACAGTTTATTGTTGTCGCCTGTTCGTTTTGAGGACGTGGAGGTGATACGTACCTATGTACTTTGAGATCGCGTCACGGATGTGCCTGTTTACCACCTGTAGGTACTGGGTAGTTGTTGTTCGCAAGAAGCTGCTTGAATCTCCTCAGTTCACTGTCTAACCCGGTCCAAGAAGAACAGTGTTTTATAGCCTGTGTATATAAGCCTTATCACACTGTCTTTGTATCTATCCGGACACTGGCTGCTACCGTTCAAACATAATCCTAAATCTGTGGGTTTCCGATAGACGTCATTTAATAGGTACTATCGTACCTATTATCCGAATCAAAACCAGAGGCTTTCTCCTCTCCAATGGCAGAAAATTAATTGAGTGTCCGAGCGGTTTATGAGGGTAGGGTAGTGCTTCCCAGTGCTAACAGACACAGCCAACAACCAATAAAAGCCTCACTCTAGTCAATTTTGGGTCGTTAACAGTGAACCAGTGCATTTCAGGGGGAGGTGTAAGTACCAAGCCCAGCCCCGCACTTAACCTAAAGCAGCGAAGGATATGCCCAAAAGAAAACATATTTTAGAAGGAACGTCTAGTTCTGGTAAATATTGGTAATTGCGATATGGCCAGTTTTCCTTGAAAGCAAATATAGGTAGATATATTTGGGATATCCTTAGGGATAATCGGTGAGACAAGTCGGAGCTATCGGAGACTGTAGGAGACAGGCTGGGCTATTTGTGCACCTCTGCAGTCCGCATACACGAGCGGTGGCAGCGGTGATACCAATCACTGCCCTACCCTTTCGGTACTTCTGAGAGGCAGCCAGCCGTCTCCTCAGTGACTCGCTCCCATCAAGTCGCCAGCTGCGATTCAGACGGGCTGTTATAGCAGAACCCACGGGCACGGGTACTTTCGCCGTGTCGTCCGATCGTCACGCGATTGTGCCTTTTATACCACTTCTGACGTCAACTTAAAGACCTAGAGCGAAATGCTATATATTATATGAATGTTGAATACTCCATCACTGGACGTGTAGCGTATCACCGTAACTATTGCCTGTGGATACGAGTATGACATTAATTTTGACTGATAACGTTCAACCTTGACCGTTCATGTCCATCGCAGCTTCTCACGCGAAGCTGCCGTCTTTTTTCCAGGCACCTCGGGTGTCCAGCACGGACGCCGGCTAGCCGATCCGATCAGCGCTCGCTCGTCAGACAGGAGTGTCAGCGTACCGCCAGTGTATTGGGCACGGACCCCGCGCCCACACCCGCGGCACTGTCCAGATCCCGAATAAAACAGCTCCGCGGCGGCGGCGGCGCACCTACTGCGCGCCGCCAGCAATAAAGTCAGGTATTTCAACGGGCCCAATAAGGCATATCATCATCATCATCATCACATCGGCCGCGCACTTCCATCACATGCGCAGCGTCCCCCCGGTATCCGCCCCCGTCTGAAGTCACACAGACACACACTCATGGGTGTCGATTTCTGCCGAGCTGGGGGTGCCCGGGCGCAGCAAATCCGCCGCCGCCCTAGCGGTGACCTTGACCCGCGCCGTCTGTTGGGGCTCCAAAGCCAAGCCGGCCGAGCTGGCGGGGAATTTGAAGAGCTCGGGCACACCCAACCCGGCAGAAATCGCCACCCATGCACACACTGATATCATACCCGGCCCCCGTCTGACGTCACACACACACACTGACGTCACACAGACACTGACAGCATACCCGGCCCCCTGTCCCACGTCACGCATACAGACGCTGACGACCCGTGCGTTCACCCATAGCCCCCCTCCCCCGGTCCGCAGGGCGTTCACGGCTCGCCTCAGTGGCACGGCTGTGGCCAGCTCGACGGTGCGCGACCAGAACACTCGGTAAGGCGCCCAGAAGAGGCCCCTCAGCAAAGATAGAGTCGTGTGCTAGAGCTTCAGTGTCAGTTTCCGCGGCGGTTTCCGCTCCGCCCGGCAGGTATAAAGTAGCCGACGTCCGCCGGGACCCGCACCCAGGGTCGGTAAGCACGCCCAACACACACACATACACACACGCAGCGCAGGCGGCTCTGACGCCCCATACAGCTCCCTATCACACGGTGGCTATAACCGTAAGTCGCAAACGCTAAGGCCTGTCGTTTGCGTTTGGCCCTACTTCCCACAGATAAGGCCGCATTTGCACACCAAAACACCCGTCCCGTTTGCCACGTCCCATTTAACAATCCAAGGCACTGCGCCTCTCCGCCGGCTCCCTGTGAGGGAGAGGGGTCTCCTCGCCCTCTACCCACCCGCACCTGCCTCCCTGCCTCCCTCGCGCTCTCTCTCTGAGCTCTGTCCGGTCACTGGCCGGCGCCGCGCGGTTTATGGCGAGCGGCCGGGTCGACGGCAGCCGAGGGCACGATGGCAGCGCCCCTGGCGGGGCCGCGCGGCACCAGCAGCACGTCGCCGTCGGCAGACAGCTGCAGACTGTACTCGGATGGTGAATACGGCTGGTCGTCGGCGTCCCGCAGCGACTGAGGGCAAAGGGAGGGAATCAGCGACTGAGGGCGGACGGAGGGAGTCAGAGACTGAGTATAGAGGAGGGAGTCAGCGACTGAGGGCGGACTGAGGGAGTCAGCGACTGAGGGCGGACGGAGGGAGTCAGCGACTGAGGGCGGAGGGAGGGAGTCAGCGACTGAGGGAGGACGGAGGGAGTCAGTGACTGAGTAGAGGAGGGAGTCAGTGATTGAGTAGAGGAGGGAGTCAGCGACTGAGGGCGGAGGGAGTCAGTGACTGAGTAGAGGAGGGAGTCAGTGACTGAGTACAGGAGGGAGTCAGTGACTGGTACAGAGGAGGGAGTCAGTGACTGAGGGAGGACAGAGGGAGTCAGAGACTGAGGGAGGACGGAGGGAGTCAGCGACTGAGGGCGGACGGAGGGAGTCAGCGACTGAGTAGAGGAGGGAGTCAGCGACTGAGGGCGGACGGAGAGAGTCAGAGACTAAGGGCGGACGGAGGGAGTCAGTGACTGAGGGCGGGCGGGGGGAGTCAGAGACTGAGTACAGAGGGAGTCAGCGACTGAGGGCGGACGGAGGGAGTCGGCGACTGAGGGCGGACGGAGGGAGTCGGCGACTGAGGGAGGAGGGAGGAAGTCAGCGACTGAGGGCGGGCGGAGGGAGTCAGTGACTGAGGGAGGAGGGAGGGAGTCAGCGACTGAGTAGAGGAGGGAGTCAGCGACTGAGTAGAGGAGGGAGTCAGCGACTGAGGGCGGACAGAGGGAGTCAGGGACTGAGGGCGGACGGAGGGTAGACTGAGGGCGTCAGCGCGGTCCAGTACTGTCAGAGAACGTGTTACCCGACCACACAGGAGGGACAAATGCAAAAGGCAACTCAAACTGCAATGTTCCGAGAAAAGTAGCGATTATAAAATGTTGAGTGCATAAATATCGGGGAAAGCCGGAGCGCTTCAAAATGCATATGTGGTACTATCCAGCACACAGTCAAACAGCTTGCAGAGACCAGTCGCTTCAAGATCAGGGTAAGGACCCCCCGACGAGCCCCTCCCCCCTGACAATGGTTGGGTATAGAGACCCCCGCCCAGCCCCGCCCCGCGGCGGCCCCGTGTACCTACTCGTCTGTACTCGTACCTGGAAGACATGCCGGTGCAGCTGCGCGTACTTGTCGCGGATGCGTGCGCGCACGTCCGTCAGGTACTGGTGCTCGGCCAGGATGCGCTGGCGCTCGTCGCGCACCTTCTGCAGGTCCTCCGTCAGCGAGGTGATCTGGTCCAGCTTGCGCTTGCGGCAGTTCTGGGCGGCCAGCTGCAGTGGCGGGAGGGCGGGAGGGACGGTCTGACAGAGTCCACACGGAGCGGCGCCGGGCCAGCGGTACACCGCGCCGCCGCAGTGGTCAACAACCGAGTCCATATGACCACTCATAAAAAAGAAACAATTAGCTTACCTTTTTCGAAACATAAAAGTCTCCGACAGCCGCACTCACATCCAGCCCCAGCCCACAGCAGCAAACAGCCCACAGTCCACAGTTGCCCCCATAGCCGCCCCCTGCCGCCCCCAGCCGCCCTCAGCCGCCCTTAGCCGCTCCTCTGCCGCCCCCAGCCGCCCACCTTGTTCTTGCCGCGCCGGCGGACGTCGCGCACCAGGCTGAGCTGCGCCTCGCTCAGCTGCAGCTTGGCCAGCCGCTCGTTGAAGTCGTCCATGGGCATGTGCACGATCTCGTCGGCCGTCAGCGGAATCTCCATGGAGCGCAGACGCTTCTCGTCGCGCGACACGCGCTCCGCTGGCTTCTTATCGGCCACTACGGGGAGCGGCGGGGGGGGGGGGGGAGGGGGGCGTCAGCGGCGGATCGACAGGTGAGAATGGCGGACCGACAGGTGACAGTGGCGGACCGAACAGTGACAGTAACAGCGGCGGACCTACCGGTGGTGGTGGTGGGAGGGACCCCGAGCAACTGCTGTAAAAGCAACTAACACATGCAAAAATTAATATTAGTGTGTCTCAGTGTCGGTATCAGTGTGTCAGTGTCTCAGTGTCTCAGTGTCTCAGTGTCTCGGTGTCTCAGTGTCGGTGCGGTGTCTCGGTGTCTCTGTGTCTCGGTGTCTCAGTGTCTCACCTTTGTCCCTGGCCACGGGCCGGTCGGAGTCGCTCCCGCTCTCCACGGACGCGGGCTGGTGGTAGCTGTGGTTGTGAGCCACCGAATCCAACTGCTCCGCCGGCGACTGGAACAGAGCAACACCCAGCCGTCAGCAAACGAAACCGACAACAGCGCACGAAACCAGCCGCCAGTCAGCAAACGAAACCAACAGCGCACGGAACCAGCCGACAGTCAGCAAACGAACATACCAAACCGACAACAGTGCACGGAACCAGCCGCCAGTCAGCGCACTAAACCAACAGCGCACGGAACCACCCGCCAGTCAGCAAACGAAACCGACAGCGCACGGAGCCAGCCCACTTGGGGTGCACGGAGCCAGCCCGCACAGAAACCCAGTCAGCGTCAACATCCGGCGACTGTGCCGACTCTCCCGACTTCCCCGGCTACTTGGGCATGGTCGGCGCAGCGATAGCACTGACCCACCGCCTGCCGTACCCGTCACCCCCTCACCATTCCCATATCTCTCCCCTGCCATACCCGTCTCCCCCTATCTCTCTCCCTGCCGTACCCGTCTCCCCCTATCTCTCTCCCTGCCGTACCCGTCTCCCCCTATCTCTCTCCCTGCCGTACCCGTCTCCCCCTATTTCTCCGCCTGCTGTACCCGTCTCCCCCTCACCATTTCCCTATCTCTCCCTGCCGTACCCGCCTCCCCCTATCTCTCCCACTGCCGTACCCGTCTCCCCCATTCTCTCCCCTGCCGTACCCGTCTCCATCTATCTCTCCCCTGCCGTACCCGCCTCCCCCTATCTCTCCCCTGCCGTACCCGTCTCCCCTATCTCTCCCCTGCTGTACCCGTCTCCCCTACCTCTCCCCTGCCGTACCCGTCTCCCCCTACCTCTCCCACTGCCGTACCCATCTCCCCCTCACCATGCGGGTGAACTGCGGTGTGCGGCTGTACTTGATCTCGGCGATGTCGGCGGCGGCGGCGGCCTGCGGGGGCGCCGGCGCCCCGGCCGCCGGCAGCGCGGCGCCCAGGCCGCCCTCCGTGCCGTACCGGTGCGCCGCCGGCGCCGGCGAGCTGGTCGGACGGCACGGCGACGTGCACACGTCGCTCGACGCACTCGAGTCATCGAACGCGCCTGCGGGAAAGGCACCGGTCAAACAGACAGCCGGGCGGGCACCAGAGACCGCTGACAGTCGGTAGACAGGGCGAGCACCTCTGTTCAAGATGGTGGTCGGACGGCAGCGCGGCTCACGAGTCACGGCATCAAAGGAATACATAGTATTATAATCGCGACTACAAAGGGACAGCTCACTTCACCCGGGATGCTCAACAAACATCCCACAGCCCCCCCCCCCCCCCCCCCACCGCACGCCGAACTGCAGGCGGGCACGTACCGTCCTGGCTCTGGAAGATGCGCTTTCCGTACATCTGGTGTTTCTTCTGCGCCACGGGCAGCCGGGGCGAGCGGCCGCGCGCGTCCGAGCCGGCGCCGCCGGTCGGGCCCGCCGAGCGCCCCGGGCCGGCGCCAAACTGACCCGTCGGGGACGACCTGGCGAGGGGACAGGGGCGTTACGGGCCGGCGGGGACGACCTGGTCAGGGGGACAGGGGCGTTACGGGCCGGCGGGGACGACCTGGTCAGGGGGACAGGGGCGTCACGGACCGGCGGGGACGACCTGGTCAGGGGGACAGGGGTGTCACGGACCGGCGGGGACGACCTGGTCAGGGGGACAGGGGCGTCACGGACCGGCGGGGACGACCTGGTCAGGGGGACAGGGGCGTCACGGACCGGCGGGGACGACCTGGTCAGGGGGACATGGACCGGCGGGGACGACCTGGCGAGGGGACAGGGGCGTCACGGACCGGCGGGGACGACCTGGTCAGGGGGACAGGGGCGTCACGGGCCGGCGGCCCACTAGAGGCCGGCGGGGAGGAGGGCCTGGGGCGGGTCAGGGAAGGCGGGTAGTCGGGCGAGAACAAAACACACAGCTCCTTACAACCATACAACATATTCAGCCGTGTCCCCCTGTCACAAGCCACAATTCTGATGTTATAAGCGCCAGCTGTTCATATGAGGGCGGGACCAGGAAAGAAAATAAGCCCTCCTACATCGATGCTTCTGCATTGTATGCTGTTGCGTTCGGTGTCCCTGCATGAACTTTCTTAAGGTGTTGCGTGGGTGTTCGTGCATTAAAGTTCCCAGCATCACCTAGCCAACAACGGGTGTCAACCCGTTACAATCACATCTAACCTGATAAAAATGATCGCCCCACACACGCTGAGTCACAGTACCACGCCTGCCACGCGGCTCTCCCACCCTGTGACACGACTCCCTGTGACACGGCTCTCCCGCCCTGTGACACGGCTCTCCCTCTGACACGACTCTCCCTGTGACACGTCTCTCCCTCTGACACGGCTCGCCCTGTGCCGCGTCTGAGGCGGCTCGGCGGGCGCCGCGTCAGTCCGCTACTCACTGGGACTGTCCGCCGGAGGGTGACTGGGACGGACTGCCGCCGCCGGCACCCTGACTGCCGGAACTCCAGTCCTGGGGCGCTGCCGACAGCACAGTAGCAGCGTCACACGCCGGCCGCCGTGAAACACAGGGATTATCGCGGGGTGGACGACAGGTAGCGTCACCTCAGATAAACAGCCAAACACAGGCCTAGCGCTCAGATAACAAATAAAGGAGCGGCACAAACTGATCCCCATCAGCAGTAGGTATACAGCGAGCGGTGGAGCGGCTCGACACAGTGGGCCAGGCGCATCAAAAAAGCGGAATTAAGTCGAAAATCAACTTCGGTGAAATTCCTGTAATTATGGGATAGAGTATTGTAAAAATGTCCAAAGTTTCCGAATAAGCAAGTTTCCTTTCCCCAATGTCAAGGCAGATAATGCTATAACGTCGCAAAGTAGGACTTACCGACTGGAGATGGAAATGACTGCTGTGTACCATTTTCCGTTCCCCCGATTCAAAAGCTCTCAGCGTAAAATCATTAAAGTTATTCCGTACAAAATAGCTTTAAAAAAACAGCCGGTATTTCTGCGCATGTTTCTCGTACTCAAGTTCCCGGGAACTATTTCATGCTTACTAGTAGCGGTGGGGTTTACAGTGCCTGTTCGGAACCGTGGTAGTGCAACGACGCAATGAATTTATATAAGGATATAAAGAAAACGTCACCGAACAACACGAAGATATTTGCTGCCTGACTTTCCTCAAGGTGTATAGCTTGCTGCCCAATGCAAATATTTTGCGCATTTTTGCGCGAAATGGACAAATAAGGGTTTAACCCTCGCCGGCATAGGCCGTTTTGCATCCCTCGACGGCACAGGGGGATGCGACCCTCCTCGCGTTTGGCCCCTAATTGAGCTAGAGCCTCGCGGAAAAAACCATCGTGTAGGTCGTCACGAGACAAAGCCAACGGTACCCGGTTTTAAGGTCATAGGTCAAATGGTGACCTCTGAGGTCAGGTCAATGGCCCGAAAGTCGGGACCTGTTAGAACGTCGTATAGTGTGGCTGCTAAGGGGTTTTTCGGGATGCTGATCACGAATATCATGTTAGTTTTGATCACAGATGATGTCTTCATGCATTTAGGCCAGGTCGGGTCAGCTCAGGTCAGGTCAACCAGTATGGGTCCTGCCGGGTATTCGTAGTAGGTGTCAACCCGCCTCTGACAGCTTCGTAACATGTTACGAAGGCACCAAAACTACTTCGTAAATGTTCAAATGGTTCCTAAATTCGAATTCAGCTCCAAAAACTAGCCCAGAAACATGTAAAACTCGAAAAAGTGAACCGAGGTCATCGAAGGTCAATGACCTGACCTGACCTTCAGGTGACCTTTACACCCACCCTAAAGCATGGGACCAACATCATATCACATGTTTGAACGCTTGAAACCACGAAAAGACTGCAAACGCGCGGCCAATGCAGCATAGTGCCCGCCTGTCCCAGGCATGTGTGCAGCGCAGAAATTAAATAATGACGTCATAGGTCAGTGACCTTGCGTAACCAATCAAATTTGAAAATGGATATCGGATTCGGCTTTAGCATGATATTTTACCCTGTAACGAATCATTTTTGGCACCGCAGCTGTGCTCATTGATTTAATTCCGCTTTTTTGAAGCGCCTGGCCCACTGTGGGCTCGAGCAGAGGTCTCGCCGGCCGACCGACCCGGCCTCCGTGCGACACTGTCCACTGCCCAGTGAGCCCGGGCCGTCCGTCCTCCGCACCCACCAAGCTCCGTGATGGGCATCGTCGACAGGTCGAGCTGGTCGACCCCGAGCAGCTGCGAGAGGAACGCCTCGTCCTGGTCCAGCGGCGAGCCGCCGGCCGCGCCGGCCGCCTGGCCCGGCACACCGGCCGGCGACAGCTGGAAGTACGTCAGCTCGCCGCCGGAGGCGCCACCGTCGTCCAGCAGCGGCGGCCCGCCGGAGGGCAGGCTGAGTGGGGCCGCCGGCTGAGCCAGCGCTCCTGAGGGGGAGGGAGGGGGTGTCAGAAGGCCGGTCGGTGTAAACCTTGGTGTAAACCAACACCCGGGCAGTGTGCTGTTGCAATGGAATGTGAACACGTAACTTCCCTGTTCCCTGAACAAGAAGAAAATATTCCTAGTTCTTTCTGTCCCCCATCGTCTCACACCTCCCAACACAACCACCCAGCACCCGTGAACCCCTGACCCGTGACCCCCACTGACCCGCTGCTCTCAATGACCCCCCCCCCCCACCACCACCACCACACTGACCCGCTATGCTACTGACCTGTGTCTGGGATGAAGCCGCCCGGCAGCAGTCCGTGTCCGGTCGGCAGCGGGCCCGGCCCGGTCGGCAGCGGGCGCAGCTGAGTCCCGGCCGGCGCCGGCGCCTCCTGGCCAGCCGGCAGCAGCAGCACACTGGCCAGGTCCTGCCAGCGCTGCTCCATGCTGACCATCCGGTTCAGCGGCACCCGCGGCTGCCGGCGCACAGACAACGGTCAGCTCAGCTCAGGTCAGGTCAGGTCCGATCAGGTCAGGTCAGGTCAGGTCAGTGGGGTCTCTCTCTCATATTGCATTGCAACAGCTTCCTAACAGGGATACTCGCGGCTGGTGACAGATGACACCGTCAGGTCAGGTCAGGTGAGCCAAGGTCAGGTTAGGTCAGTGTGTTCAGTATCGTGGCCCTGCGACCGGCGGCAGAGAGGTCAGGTTGGGTCAGCTAACCGAGGGAGATGTCAGGCGACAGAATATCGCGGGCAATGCCAGACAATTGCAAATCAGCGACTTACAGCCGAGCTCAGAGCGATATTCCGGCGGCGCTACTGCGAGGGGCGGTAAGGCGTCTAGGACAGGTCAGTGGATCTGGCTGGTCCAAGATGGGCAAGGGCAGAGAAAAGAGCGGCCGCCGGGAGGACGGAGGGAGGGCGGCCCGGTCACAGAGCCACCCAAAGGCAGAGCGACACAACAGAAACAGGTTCAGACCAGCGTCTCTTTTTTCAGATCAACGTGTTACTTGTCAGCTCTAAAGAGAGCACTGAGGTAACTTCTCGGGCCGATATGGATTGGCCATGCCAGGCTGGTCAAATGACAGGCTCTGAGTACAAGATTGCTGGCCTGGTCATTTGGGCCAGGTTCGCGATGCCCCCTTCCTCTTCCACCTGCCGGAACGAAGCTGTCGGACGAGGGGCGAGGGTTGGGGATCGGCCCTGATGCAGGGCCCCTAATACAGGTCCCTAATGCAGGACTCTGATACAGGCTACATCAGCTCCGCCCGGGTCCTAATACAGGACTCTGATACAGGCCGCATCAGGGAGGGAAGGCGGTCTCTAATACAGGGAGGGAGGGCGGTCCCTAATACAATGAGGGAGGGCGGTCCCTCATACAGGGAGGGCGGTCCCTAATACAGAGAGGGAGAGCGCTTCCCAATACAGGGAGGAGGGCGGTCCCTAATACAGGGAGGGAGGGCGGTCCCTAACACAGGGAGGGAGGGCGGTTCCCAATACAGGGAGGGAGGTCCCTAATACAGAGAGGGAGGGCGGTTCCCAATACAGGGAGGGAAGGCGGTCTCTAATACAGGGGGGAGGGCGGTCCCTAATACAATGAGGGAGGGCGGTCCCTAATACAGGGAGGGCGGTCCCTAATACAGAGAGGGAGAGCGCTTCCCAATACAGGGAGGAGGGCGGTCCCTAATACAGGGAGGGAGGGCGGTCCCTAACACAGGGAGGGAGGGCGGTTCCCAATACAGGGAGGGAGGTCCCTAATACAGAGAGGGAGGGCGGTTCCCAATACAGGGAGGGAAGGCGGTCTCTAATACAGGGGGGAGGGCGGTCCCTAATACAATGAGGGAGGGCGGTCCCTAATACAGGGAGGGCGGTCCCTAATGCAGAGAGGCAGACATGTGCATGGATCCGAGAAAATGGATCTGGGATCTGATCCCACGGATCCTGATCTCGGATCCAACGGGATCATAGATCCACTTCTGTAATTTATCGAGAGATCCGTATGGATCACAGATCCGTGTCTCATTTTTTGCTTGAGATCCAGTGAGATCATAGATCCTCACTTATCTTTTGTCAACACATACCTATATCCCAAAAAAGCACTTGTTTCAACTCACAAACGTTCTGTTTTAGTGATGTTATGTGATCGCACGTCATAATCCATAGTTTTGTGTCACTTATTGGCATAGAGACCCTTTAAAACATGGTTTCAAATGTGGTGCCTGGTGGGATCCACTCAGATCATAGATCCATGTTCTTAATTTATCATCAGATCATATGAGATCATAGATCCAAGATGCATTTTTCACGCCGAATCCGGTGGGATCATAGATCCCAACCTGTAATTTGCTTCGAGATCCACTGAGATCATAGATCCATCACTCGGATCCATGCACATGTCTGCAGAGAGGGAGGGCGGTTCCCAATACAGGGAGGAGGGCGGTCCCTAATACAGGGAGGAGGGCGGTCCCTAATACAGGGAGGGAGGGCGGTCCCTAACACAGGGAGGGAGGGCGGTTCCCAATACAGGGAGGGAGGTCCCTAATACAGAGAGGGAGGGCGGTTCCCAATACAGGGAGGGAGGGCGGTTCCCAATACAGGGAGGGAGGGCGGTCCCTAATACAGGGAGGGAGGGCGGTCCCTAACACAGGGAGGGAGGGAGGTCCCTAACACAGAGAGGGAGGGCGGTCTCTAATACAGGGAGGGAGGGCGGTCCCTAACACAGGGAGGGAGGTCCCTAACACAGAGAGGGAGGGCGGTCTCTAATACAGGGAGGGAGGGCGGTCCCTAACACAGGGAGGGAGGTCCCTAACACAGGGAGGGAGGGCGCCGGCACGGACGGCGGCCGGCCCGCCAGATGTCCCCGAGAAACGGCCCACACTGATGGCGGCTGACAAATGAGCTGGGAAAGGAGAGACGCCAGCGACACAAAGCCAGCCGGGCGGCCCGGCTCGGCGGGATAAGACGCGCCGCGATTCTGCGAACGGAGCGAACGGTAACGGACGGAGAGACACCGGGCGACACGGGAGACGGCCGGGAGGTGACAAACGGCGCTACCGCCACAACAGGTGCGGACTGCGGCGCCATCACTGGGACGCCACCGCGGCCCATCTGCTGGGATAATTGCTTCATACGCTCTAATGGTTTCTCGGGGAACGCAAAATTACATTAACACGAATAGGCACGGGACCACGCATTAATTTCTTACCAGGATGCATTAGTTCATCACCGGTATGGCCGGTCAGGTCAGGTCGGGTGGGACCGGGTCAGGTTAGGTCAGGTCAGGTCGGGTGGGAACGGGTTAGGTCGGGTCAGGTCAGGTGGGACCGGGTCAGGTCAGGTCAGGTCAGGTCAGGTTAGGTCAGGTCAGGTCGGGTCAGGTCAGGTCAGGTCAGGTCAGGTCGGGTGGGAGCGGGTTAGGTCGGGTCAGGTCAGGTCGGGTCAGTCACCTCAGCGGTCTGCGGTCGGACGACTGACGACTCCACCATTGCCGGGACCGCGCGCTCGGCCGCTGGCTGGCACGCCCACCATGCTGACCAGTCTGCACCACACCGGCACCGGGTCACCAGTCACCAGCGGCGCTGACGTCACCACTGCACAGCTGACGTCACCACCGCACAGCTGACGTCACCAACGCACAGCTGACGTGCGCGGCGTCACCCAGCGTCACACGCACGCGTCAGAGGCGCCGATAGCTCCTCCGGGCCACCGCCGCCCTCAGCACTGCGGCCACTCGACACGGGGAACCTATCGCGGCGCGCGGCGCGATTCCGTCACTGGGGGCCCTCAGAGACGAGATCGGCCATGCCAGCGTGGCTGCGGGCTATCTCTCGCGCTGCCGGTCTCACAGAGCCGCCGTGGCAGCCTCCCGGCAGCCGCCGCGCCGGTCAGCTCGGTGTACCAGAGCGGCCCGAGCGGCTGACCGGCCGGCACGACCGCCTCGCCCGCCACTGTCCGGTGTATGTACGGTAGTGATGTCAATTTCAGAAATTTTGGAAACCAATACCAAACCGATACCGACCAAAACCACTGAAATTATACCAAAACCGAACCGATTTTCAGAAATAGGGGGAAATACCGACTAGATACCGAAATCAGGGAATTATCAAACAAATGCTTCAAACTTTCTCAAGACATATGATAAGCCTTGAAAGGTACCTAATACTTTGAAATAAGGTAACAAAAACAAATCAGGCAATCTGTTAATTATTTGCATTGCAAAAAAAACATTTATAACTTATTTTGTAACTATTAACAAATATTCAGGTCAGTTATTTTACTGGAATGTGGATTCAAGTCAACTGCATGAGGTGTTAGGAAAATAACTTGAACCCTGAATCTTGTCCATGCCTGAACCATCAAACCTTCTTTCAATTTAAGTCATTCATTTCGAGTCCGGTCAAGACAGGGTTAAGTGTGTTATCATGATCCAAAAGTGGTAACCCAATTGACAATGATGGGCTACACCTTGGGCTTGCTACACCATTAATGTAAACAAAGCCCATGATACCTAGTCCTACAGTTAAACCCAAGTAGCATGGTGATTGGTGACGATACTGACGCAACCAATTTTTCTTCATAAACAAATGTGTAACACAACAAAACTTGATAAATAATTACTTATGAGGCACACTGATAGATAGCAGACACCACTGTAATGATATCGCCATGAAATCTAAGTAAAATGTCCATAATTTTACGGAAGCATTGACACACGTCACGTGTCATCTCTTCCATAATGGCGGCCTTACAGGCGGCGGCCATTTGCATTTGATTAAACTGTATAAAATAAAGTTTTTCTTTTCTTTTTTGCTTAAGTCCACTTAAATCAAAATTCTTTGTATAAATTTTGACATCTTAAAATTAATTCAAGAAAGTTGTAGGCCACTTTTGCTGAAAAATGAAGTACCAGAAAAACATAGTTGTTCAATTATTTTCAATTAATTATTGAGCTATATCGGTTCCTCAACCTGGCGCAGCTGCGACATTGAAATGTTTTTAGATGTGTTCAGTTTTGAAACTGCTGTGTGCGAGTCAAGCCAAAAGCCAATTATATTTTATAAGTGTTTATGATAAAATTGCTAGCGATCTGTATCTGTTGAGAGAGCAGGAAAGAGAACACTAATTGAAGAAAATAAATTATCCACAGGATCATGACAGCATCGCTCACTACAAGGCTTTTTGAAGTTGAGCGAAGTTGAAGATTTGTGGGCTGATGGGGGTGGTGATGAAGTGACAAATGCTGCCTTAAATATTAGATGATAATGGTGAAGCTAGTGCTGTATTAAACAGGGTTTTGGATAATGTAATTGCATTGCAGTAAAATGGAGAGGAAGACAACGTCAAGATCAATCACAGACTCCTCAAAACAAAGTCAAATTTGTTGCTATGCTTTGGAAATTTTGAGAAAGGTAGTTTAAGTATGTTTTCCAGCATACAGTGAGTTAAACATTAATTCATGTTTATGTCTTGCACATTGGCTTTCTTTGTAGGATAATTATCCTCATGGTATTGGAATTTGCTAACACTGATAAGTTGCCATTTAACATTGGTAGACTGATGTATTTGATATTACAGTTGATGTGTTTGCCCATTTGTTAGGATATCATGCATTTGGGAGAAATGTGTCATGATTGCCATTTTTCTTCATCCAGTGTCATTTAGCAAAATGAAATTTGAGTTCAGAAGGTTTATCAAAAATGCTTTCAAATATTTTATGACAGTAGTTGATTTTCATGATACCGACAAAATACCAAATGCTTTTGGTATATAATACCGAATACCGAATCGGTATTGGTTCGGTATCGGTATACCGAAATTTTGGTAACCGATTGACACCACTAATGTACGGCTCCCGCGGGCCACCGGCCACCGCCGCTCCCAGCGGCCGACTCCGCCCCGAGTCCCTAACCACCGCGCCGGTCAGCGGTCACCGGTCACCGGTCACCGGTCAGCGGTCACTGGGCACCGGTCAGCGGTCACTGGGCACCGGTCACCGGTCAGCGGTCACCCAGGGGGCACTTCTCGGTCACGGCGCCGAGCGTCCGCACTGTTGATTTGATTCTGTCACTCCCGACCCCGTGTGTGCTCAGCAGTCCTCAGCAAAGCAGTAGCACCAGAGCACCTCAGCGGCGCACCGCACACCAGAGCACCTCACGCCACAGCCCGCCGCCCTGACTGACCGTGCCTCTCGCCCGCCGCGTCTCAGCGGCGCGGCACACTCAAAAGGCGGCGCGTCGTGGCCCGCGGCCGCGCTCCGAGCGACGACAGTGCTCGACGGGGCGCCGGGCGGACTGGCGACGGGGCGCCGGGCGGACTGGCGACGGGCGCGGACGTCGTCAGTGCGTGCGGATCACGAGCGGCGCTGTGGACGACTGGGTGCCGAGCAGCCTTCATGGCGCCGAGCGGCGGCGGCGGCGGCGGCGCGGCGCCGCTGATTTATTGTGTACGTGTCGGCGGCCGTACGTCGAGGTTACGCCGCCCGTCCGCTGCGCCAATGGTGGCTGGAGGTCAGCCGCGGCCCGCCAGTCCGCGCACGCCTGCACAGACAGCGCGGACATCCTCTGACCGCCGGCGCACGGGGCACACATCACAGCAGCTGCACAACGCTTAGAGCTGGCTCGCTGTGTTTTAGAGAACGTCTGAAGACGGGTAACTGAACATCGCCCGGCATTGACCACTGACAGTGACGCAGTTGAGTGCCTCACAGCACCAGGTGTGAGAGGGGCGTCTTGTTGTCACAGTCCGGCCGTCCCTGGGCGGGTGCACGGGTGCTGGCAGGGCAGCCGCTCGACGCGCCGCCCGCCGGCCCACCGCCCAGCGCGCCCGGCTGTGTGTGAACTCCCATTAGCGCAGGATTGATGGATCACAATGGGCGCCGACCATTACGATTGAGGGCTATTTCGCTCACAACAATGGCTGTCACGCCCCGAATCGGTTCGGCCGCGGCGCGGCGCTATGTGGGCAGCGGCGGCCGTGACAAACCGAGCCGCGGCATCCGGCGGCGGCGCGCCGGCCGCCAGCGCTGCAGCGCGCAGCTGACCTGCGCACACCGCCAGCAGGTCCGCCGCCACACGGAACAATATCAGCAGCGGCGCGCGGCGCTGACACCGCGCCTGACTTCAGGACACCGTCCCACACCCCACCGTCCGACCCCGAGCACACCTGGCGCCGCGCCCTGGCCCCTGTGGTTCACCGTGTGTGTATGTCCACTGTCCGCTCAGTGTCCACTGCCCGCTGTCCACTGTCCTGTGATACCTGTCCAATGTCCAATACACCGGCCCCGCCGTCTGATACCATCAACCATAGGCCCATGCATCAACATACCGCGCCAACCTTTTCCGACATACAAACAGTCCTTCTGTACAGCCACTGTAGTTATGCTGTGGGTAATCGCCATCTCGCCCCGCGAGCAGCCCCTCACCCAGCTATACCGGTGGCCACGTTAGCGCCCTCAGATACTGGGAGTGCGTCGCGTATCGGCGTGTGGCGCACACAGAGCTCGCCCATCTACCGCGCGATAAACAACTCAAACACACGGGTCGCAAATTTAGCCGCGATAAGCGACTCAAACATCGCCTCTGCTTTATCGCCCCGGCGCTGTTCTGAGCTAATTTTATGTGCCATCAGTCGGAATTAATGCAACTCGGACCGCGATAAACCGCTCATTCCAGCCGTAGCGTGCATTGCGATGCGGATGCGGGAGGTCGGTCGTAATTCACACACCGTGGCGTCCGCGCCGGGCGCCGGACGGGCGCTCGTACGCCGCCCAGCAGTGCCTCACTGACACACACTGCCCGGCCGGCCCAGCCCGAGCCCCTGCCCAGTGACGGCCCGTCGGCGAGCCGCTCGGGTACATACATCAGAGCCCAGCGGACCGGGCAGGTACACTGTGTGTCTGCCCGCCGCGCTCCGGCAGCCTCCGGCGCCGCGCGCGCCGCTGATGATACCCTTCAGTACCGGCGTGCAGCGCGCAACGGCCGCCGTAACGGCGCCATTATCTCCGCTAACGCCGCCGGTAACTGCGGCGGAGAAAGCGGAGGCACTGCACAGCGCGGCAGGTCGGCGGCTGAGGGCAGGATCTTGGAGTGCTGGGCTCTGATACAGGGACCGGGGTACTCGGGGATCTGATACAGGGGGTCGATAGTGCATTGGTGGGACGACGAGCGACAGCCCCTGGTAGCCCAACGATAATCGGGGACAGCAGGGGGCAGCCCAATGATACTCGGGGACCGCAGAGGACAGCCCAATGATACTCGGGGACCGCAGAGGACAGCCCGGGGTAGCCCAATGATACTCGGGGACAGCAGAGGACAGCCCGGTATAGCTCAATGACAGCAGAGCATGCAGCCTGGGGTAGCCCAATGATACTCGGGGACAGCAGAGGACAGCCCAGTATAGCTCAATGACACTCGGGGACCGCAAAGGACAGTCCGGAATAGCCCAATGATACTCGGGGACAGCAGAACACAGCCCGGGACAGCCCAATGATACTCGGAAACAGCAGCACACAGCCTGGAGTAACCCAATGATACTCGGGGACCGCAGGGAACAGCCCGGGCTAGTTCCTTTATACTCGACGCACCGCAGTACAGCGGCGGCACGTCGACAGGCCCAGTGCTGGGCTTGGGATGGACACGAGAGCGGACGCTTTGGTTGTGAGGGAGCCACCACCACAGCCAGAGCCTCCCGTCTCCACAACGGCGGCCCTCTCCACACATTGACAGAGCCACGCCGCCTGGGAACACCGGTGGCCCGCGTCCCGCCCGTGACGCCGACCACGCCTTGTTGCACCGTGACCGCCGCGCCGGTTCGGGGCGGCGGGTTCCCACGGCCGGGCCGCTTCACACCGGCGGCCGGGCCGCCCCAACACCGTCCGAGCCGCCTCAGCAGCTGTCCGGCGGGACATCACATGGGCGGCCGCAGTGACCGCCGCGCACCACCCTGCCCGGAGACCGCAGTCCGCACCAGGCAGCGGTACGGTGGTATAAGTCCGCCCGGAGACCGGTACGGTACAGTGGTGTAGGTCCGCCCGGGAACCGGTACGGTACAGTAGTGTAGGTCCGATAACTCCCGGAGATCAGTACCTACGGTACAGTGGTGTGGGCCCGCTAACTCCCCCCCCCCCCCGAGCCGCCCGGGAGGGAAGGGGAGATGGTCGCAGTTGGTAGATGTCACGGCAGATTAGACGGCGGCCGATAGACCGCGGATATGAGACACAGGTCCCGCCGGATGGTGTCAGTGATCAATACCACACAGCGTACTTCCTTGGCATGTCAAAACCAGCAACGAAACCAGCCACGGAATGGATAGTCTGATCAGATGTCACTTGCAGATACCACACTGACTACCTGGAATGTGCTGTGAACTGCCTACACTGTGTAGTGTGCTGCCTACCTGCACTGTGCTGTGTGTTTCCCACCTGCGCTGCGCTGTGTGCTACCTCACTGTACTGTGCTGTGTGCTGCCTACCTGTGCTGTGCTATGTGCTGCCTACCTGGACTGTACCGTGTGATGCCTCACTGTACTGTGCTGTGTGCTGCCTACCTGTGCTGTGCTGTGTTCTGCCTACCTGGACTGTACCGTGTGATGCCTCACTGTACTGTGTGCTGCCTACCTGTGCTGTGCTGTGTGCTGCCTACCTGGACTGTACCGTGTGCTACCTCACTGTACTGTGTTGTGTGCTGCCTACCTGTGCTGTGCTATGTGCTGCCTACCTGTGCTGTGCTGTGTGCTGCCTACCTGGACTGTACCGTGTGATGCCTCACTGTACTGTGTTGTGTGCTGCCTACCTGTGCTGTGCTGTGTGCTGCCTACCTGGACTGTACCGTGTGCTACCTCACTGTACTGTGTTGTGTGCTGCCTACCTGTGCTGTGCTGTGTGCTGCCTACCTGTGCTGTGCTGTGTGCTGCCTACCTGGACTGTACCGTGTGATGCCTCACTGTACTGTGTTGTGTGCTGCCTACCTGTGCTGTGCTGTGTGCTGCCTACCTGGACTGTACCGTGTGCTACCTCACTGTACTGTGTTGTGTGCCGCCTACCTGTGCTGTGCTGTGTGCTGCCTCGATCATCCGGTCGAGGAGGGCGATCTCGGCGTCCGAGTCGGAGAGGCTGCTCTGTCCCGAGTCGCCCGAGCAGTGAGGCAGTCGGCGTGCCAGCTCCTACCGGCACCGGCACACGCCAGGTCACAGGGCGGGTCACAGAGCACCAGCACAGTCAGATCACAGGGCGGGTCACAGGGCAGGTCAACTGTCCAGACTTACTAACCAGGGTCACAGTGCATGGTACGGGAGCCAACGAGCCTTTCAAGAAAGATAAGGCCGGATACCAGATCTGAGCTTGGCATAACCAAACTTTGACAATATGTATGATTTTGTTCGGCGGGGAGTGTCTCTCACCTGCGGCGGCCCGGGGGGAGTGTCTCCCACCTGCGGCGGCCCGCGGGGAGTGTCTCTCACCTGCGGCGGCCCGGGGGGAGGGTCTCTCACCTGCGGCGGCCCGGGGGGCGCGGCGCCCATCAGCTCGTCGATGGTGGTCGGGATCGGGCCGGGCAGCAGCGTCTCACGGCGCGCCGCGGGGACCGCCTCCTGCGAGCCGAGTCGGCCGGCCGCCGGCACCGCCACCGGCGCCGGCTCGACGGGCCCGGCCGGCGCCGGCGCCGACGACGGCAGCAGCATGCACTCGCCTGCCGGCCGCCGGGGTCAGATCTGAGGTCAGGTCAGGTCACCACGCCAGGGCACACACCGCGTCGGCACAGACACGGCGTCAGTTCCGCAATAACATCTCCGAGAGAAGCTATTGAACGGCTAGGCTAAACGCTTCCCTGCAAAAAATAGCTCCACCTGCACAACTTCAAGCTAAAATTGAATAAAGTTAAAGCCAATACGTCAGTGCTACATTGACAGAGCAGCAGCCTAAGGTGAATTCAAAATCAGGCACATTTATTTACGAAAATAATTTAATACTAAATTATATTGATTTTCCGGCCAAGGTAACAATGAAGGCATGAAAACACTGAGCGACTCAGGAATCAGATAGCAGAGAACACTGTAAATGAGGGCGGTATCGTGGTGGTTCTGATGTCGGTAGAGCACCCTGAAGCGCCAGTAATGGCCACAAATAACCGACAAGGCCACGGCCACGGATGTATTCACGATGTATTCGCAAGCAGTACGCTCTGGAACGCACTACCGTGACACGAAACGAGCCCACACCTTGGGTGGAGGTGGCAGCTCGTCTACCGAACGTCCAGCCGCGGCCCAACACCACACAGACTGACCCGAGCTGAGAGGCAGGGACTGAGGAGGGAGGGACGAACGAGAGAGGGGCAGAGGAGCGCGCCACGAGAGGCGCTTAGTCACGGACCGGCGGCGCCGTGTGCCGCGGCGCGTCCCTGCGCGACTCTGCGGACCACGCAGCGTGCCGTACGGTCGCGGGGACGGCGCAGCCACAAGGACGGCGCAGCCATGACCAGGCGACTGCGGCGCTGCCGGCAGTGATTCGCGCGACACCGGCGTCCCCAGAGTCAACACAGCGGCTGGGCGGCCGGCGCGGCGGACCGAGCTCCGCCGGCGGCCGGGCCGAGCTCCACCAGCGCGCGGCCGGACCGAGCTCCACCGAGGGAACTTAATTACAGCGCCAGCTAATTTATGGGGCGACCGGGAACTTTCTCTGGGGACGGTCCTTTCCATGAACATTGGCTACAGCCAACTGACCAAGACATTTCACTGAACTACGTGACTGTAATTCCTGACACGCCCAGGCAATCTCCTACACCAAACGGCCAAATTTATGGGTTATGCTGGGTTACCGTCCAGTGAGCTAACTGATAATCGCACCCTCAGAAGGGACGTGCGAGTACGCAACGCCGCTCCGAAACCGGGTCATATATGATATAGCGAAGGATGAAAGATGATAAAAGACTAGATGTTCCAACTTCCAGCCCTTACAGGCCTCACTGGCTGTAGCGAACGATAGGCTGCGCTCTGATCAAGCAATCAAGTGTGTCTGCATTGAGCATGAGCTCACACGGACAGGCTGACTTCAACCTGCGTGGTGAGCGACGCAGTCTACCATTCCAGTCAAGTGGTGGCCCGTGGGAGGTGGAGCGTCGTTCTGGGTCCTCATACCCGGTAAACCACATAACATTTTAACGTGCAAAGTAGAGCCACTTACAAACTAGGTGCCTTTCGGAGAACATACTGCCAAAGCACGACAGGTTTCTACAACAAAGTCATACGAAATACAGATTCCTGGCCGTAAAGTCAGCGAAGGTTTTGCCATTTGTGTCTACTTTCGTTGGTAGATATTACGAGTATAGTTCCATTTCTTCGCTACTTTCCACTTTATTCCTTCATGACCATGTAAATCAATGGCTCAGCCGCCGCGCGCCGTCGCGGCTTTCTCCATCTGCGAGAAGACCCCGAAGGCCTCGTGGCGCGGCGTCCTTTGTGTGACGTCCTGTTTTAGCCGTTCAATCCGCCAGCGAGGGCGCCGTCCGCCACGACGCCCGGTTCCGCCTTCCGACGCCGTTCCGGGGTAAATGGAGACCGATTAATACCTGTCCCCGGAGGAGCCAGCGGCGAGCCGCGGAGATCGGGGACCGGGCCGAGACAGTCGGGACCGAGCCGGGACAGCCGGGCCGAGACAGCCGGGACCGGGCCGAGACAGCCGGGACCGGGACAGCCGGGACCGGGCCGGGACAGTCGGGCCGAGACAGCCGGGATCGAGACAGTAGGGACCGGGCCGGGACAGTCGGGACCGGGATCGGGACAGGACGCAGAACCCGGGCCGGGACAGGGGTCGTGAAGGACAGACACCTGGATCCGCGGACACCCACACCCGTTCAGACTAATGGCTGTATGGACGGCAGATCGACGACGGTGCGACGAAACTGCACTTAACATTCGCTAAGTCTCATGTGCAATTTGACTTTTACCTGGAATCCTCCCAGACCACATCCCTGACCGACCGGTCCCTCCGTCCCTCCGAGGACACACATCCGATCCCTCCGTCCCTCTGCGGGCACACATCCCTCCGTCCCTCCGAGGGCACACGGTTCCTCCGAGGACACACGTCCTTCCTCCGTCCCTCTGCGGGCGCCACTCACCGGTCTCGGAGTCGACCGTCCCTCTGCGGGCGCCACGGTCCCTCTCCCTCCGAGGGCGCCACGGTCCCTCCGTCCCTCCGAGGACACACATCCCCCGTCCCTCTGCGGGCGCCACGGTCCCCCGTCCCTCTGCGGGCGCCACGGTCCCCCTCCCTCTGCGGGCGCCACGGTCCCTCTCCCTCCGAGGGCGCCACGGTCCCTCTCCCTCCGAGGGCGCCACGGTCCCTCCGTCCCTCCGAGGACACACATCCCCCGTCCCTCTGCGGGCGCCACGGTCCCCCGTCCCTCTGCGGGCGCCACGGTCCCTCCGTCCCTCTGCGGGCGCCACGGTCCCTCCGCCACTCTGAGGGCGCCACGGTCCCTCTCCCTCTGCGGGCGCCACGGTCCCTCCGTCCCCCCGAGGGCGCCACTCACCGGTCTCGGAGTCGATGGTGTAGTCGAGTCCGGCCCAGATTTTGTCCAGCGTGTCATCCTCGGCCTCCTCGTCAGCGCCGGCCACCTTCGACGACAGCCACTGGCGGTGGACCCACCCGTCAGCAGTGACCACAGTAACTACTTACCGCCCGTCAGCAGTGACCACTAACCACCCGTCAGCACTCAGCAGTGACCACTAACCACCCGTCAGCAGTGACCACTGACCGCCCGTCAGCGCCGGCCACCTTCGACGACAGCTACTGGCGGCGGACCCACCCGTCAGCAGTGACCGCAGTGACTACTTACCGCCCGTCAGCAGTGACCGCTAACCACCCGTCAGCACTCAGCAGTGACCACTAACCAGTCACCCGTCAGCAGTGACCACAGTGACCGCGCCACTGGCGGCGGACCCACCCGTCAGCAGTGACCACCCGTCAGCACTCAGCAGTGACCACTAACCACCTGTCAGCAGTGACCACCAACCGCCCGTCAGCAGTGACCACTGACCGCCCGTCAACAGTGACCACAGTGACCGCTAACCACCCGTCAGCAGTGGCCACAGTGACCGACAGTCAGCAGTGACCAGTGACCGCGCCACTGGCGGCGGACCCACCCGTCAGCAGTGACTACCCGTCAGCACACAGCAGTGACCACTAACCACCCGTCAGCAGTGACCACAGTGATCACTAACCACCCGTCAGCACTCAGCAGTGACCACTAACCACCCGTCAGCAGTGACCACTGACCGCCCGTCAGCAATCAGCAGTGACCAGTGACCGCCCGTCAGCACTCAGACCGCTAACCGCGCCACTGGCGGCGGACCCAATCGTCAGCAGTGACCACAGTGACCAAATGTCAGCACTAACCACTAACCGCGCCACTGACCGCCGTCGGCAGTGACCCTGACCACCGGTCAGCACACAGGCAGCGTTCTTCACACACGGTCCCAGCCGCGGCTGACGTAAACGCCCGCCATTACAGCAGCGTTCTCGCGCGCGCACCGCCCCTTACAGCACAACTGAATGTCACTTCCAATACGGTTGTGTTCAGCACAGCCCACAATGAGTACTTTTGCACATGAACACATGAACATGTCGTTTACACAATATGAGCTCTACGTTGCCACGCATCAGCGGCTAGTCCGTTCAACACAATTTCGAATGAAAATATCAGCCGATCCGAGCAGAAACCAAACGGAACTGGGGCCAAACGCGAGTGAGCGGCACTGGACCCGGTCCTGGGCGCGCACTGTGGTCACCCAGCCCCGCCTCAAAGGTACATACATATAGCAGAGCTTACCTCATCGTCGAGCCGGGCCGCCTTTTCGGGCACCGGCTCGAGCTGCTCGAGCGGCGAGCGCACCGGGTCAAAGTCGTGCCGGGTCAGGCCCAGGTCAATGTCCTGCTGGAACAGCGCCTCGATCACCTCGGCGTCCTGAGGGCAGAGGTCACGCAGAGGTCAGAAAAAGTTCATACAGGTCACACACAGGTCACACAAAGGTCACACCGAAGTCAGACACAGGTCACACAAAGGTCAGATTAAGGCCATTTAGGTAACACAGGCCACACAAAGGTCAGATTAGGGCCATTCAGGTCACAAAGGTCACAAAGGCCACACAAAGGTCACACAAAGGTCAGATTAAGGCCATTCAGGTCACACAGGCCGCACAAAGGTCACACAAAGGTCCGACGGCAGCCGCGCACGGTCATGGTGTGCTATGGAGGGTCAGATTAGAGGCCATTAAAGGTCGGATATAGGTACAGCACGAGGTCATCTGGGCCAGATGTGACCAATGCGACCGGGGTTGTTAAGGTTCCAACAAAATTACTCTTCAAAAAAAAAAAAAAAACTAAGTAAAGGGTACGTTGCCCAGCATCAATTTAAAAATAGTCCAGTAGCGTGACCAATAACCTATGAACTGGTATCTTACTGCACTTGTGATGTTAAGGTTGAATGTTAGAGCGGCATGCAGTGCCTGAGTGCGCCATGCACACGTAGACCCTCGACCCATCGGGCGCCCGATCAGGCCGGGGCTCCGAGTCACCGAGTGACCGGGCCAGAGTCCCCGAGTGACCGGGCCAGAGTCCCCGAGTGACCGGGCCAGAGTCCCCGAGTGACCGGGCCAGAGTCCCCGAGTGACCGGGCCAGAGTCACCGAGTGACCGCGCCAGAGTCACTCTGGACCGGACCAGAGTCACTCTGGACCGGGCCAGAGTCACCGAGTGACCGGGCCAGTGTCCTCGAGTCACCGGGCCAGAGTCCCCGAGTCACCGGGCCAGAGTCCTCGAGTCACCGGGCCAGAGTCACTCTGGACCGGGCCAGAGTCCCCAAGTCACCGGGCCAGAGTCCCCGAGTGACCGGACCAGAGTCACCGAGTCACCGGTCGGTACCCGGTGGAATGGCGGCCGGGACGGGTTCGGCAGGGCCCGGCACGCCTCAAACCAGTTCGACCGGGACCACAACACGTGTCCGACAGCGGAGACGGCTTATCGCAGCCGCCGAGCAGGCCCGGGACGCGCGAATAGCAGCCCAATTATAAATACACGGCTCAGGGCGCATGTCTCCATGGTTAGGGTAGGAAACTGCCTTTGTGATGTTATAGGAAGGTATATACTTTGAGTTGTGATTTGCGATGACGCATCTTACCCACGGACAAACCGATTTTTTTTTCCTTCGGTGACAGCCACAGACCATCCGCTCACAAAAAGTGGAGCTTGCAAAGCGTGTCCACTGTCCAATACAGCTGCCGTGGGACAGTTGTTAGAGTGGGCTAATTTGCGGGCTAGCTATACCGTGGTGGGCTAGCACCCCAAATTTATTTCACTTCACTTTGGCCTTGCGCTTTAGAATGATGATAATGATGAAGACCACGACGATGATGTTCATGATGTCGATGATGATAACGATAGCAGTTATTGTTATTGTTGCAAGCGCGCATTTATCATAGCATGAAATCTAGGTGAAATGTCCTATCAGGCGTTGCCTTGTAACAAAACGAAACGCAGCGTCGATAATCGAACAGATTTCACCTTTTTTTGCCACACTCTCCTCGTGAAATGAAAGCCAACGGGTTGGCCTCCAAAGCGCGAGTGGATAACGGCCTGTGTGAGGGATGGTCGGCCGTGCGGCACGGGGGCTGGCGGAAAATTATCACCAGCTCCGCGACACACACGCCCGTAGCGCCATTCTCGGAAACGCGAGCGAAGTCGCCAAATCGATGGCAGGAGGTACATATTACAGCCGCCCTGCCGGCCCTCTGGATGTGTCCGCGGCCACTGGCCACCGAAGCGGAGCCGATGCCGTGTTTGCACTGCCTCCAGACGGTGCGGCCGAGCCCTGCGCCGTGACCAGTCCGGGCCCTGCGCCGTGACCAGTCCGGGCCCTGCGCCGTGACCAGTCCGAGCCCTGCGCCGTGACCAGTCCGGGCCCTGCGCCGTGAGTGTGACCAGTCCGGGCCCTGCGCCGTGATCAGCCCGGGCCCTGCGCCGTGACCAGTCCGGGCCCTGCGCCGTGACCAGTCCGGGCCCTGCGCCGTGACCAGTCCGGGCCCTGCGCCGTGACCAGTCCGGGCCCTGCGCCGTGGCCAGTCCGGGTCCTGCACCGCGACCGGTCCGGGCCCTGCACCGCGATCAGTCCGGGCCCTGCGCCGTGATCAGTCCGGGCCCTGCGCCGCGACCAGTCCGCGCCGGTCAGCCGGCGGCGAGACGCGGAGAGGCCACACGGCGAGCCTCAAACATCCGCTCCGAGAGAGACGGCGCGGCACACGGGCCCGCGGCCCTGCCGGCGCAGGGTAAACACTATACATCACGACCTCGGCGGGCGGCAGCGGCACCGCGGCGGCACCGCGGCCATTGTGGCGCGAGACTGAGGTGACGCCGGCAGGCAAATCGGCAGGGACCGATGTGGTAACCATTCGCCATCAGCAGATTCAATAAATATCGATCAGCGAAGGTCCAGCGATCGAGAACATTTTAGCTTCTGGGTTTTCCCAAATAAATATTTAGTCAGCACGCCAACAGATGCGTATGGCGCCCCAACATGACCATTAGCGAAAGCGAAGCTTGACTTATTGCAATTGACGTGTTCTCAGTCCAGAATCTATGTTGCAATTGCTGTCTGCTACGTTCCGAGCATTGTGCTATATCAGTGAATAACAACTTGGCATCTTAATAATCAGTAAAAGAAAACTGCAAGTTACACAAGAGGGTTGCAACTAACAGGTCGCTGGTCGGCCGCGGGCCACTTCCCTCCCCCACACCACAGGAGTTGGTCGGTCCAGGGCGGAGTGAAGAGCGGCCCGGCCGAGACGCGGATTTCTCCTTCTCCTCGAGTACCAACCACTCGGCGCCAACAGGAGACCCGACTGAGGCTGCGGCGCAGTCACGACCTCGCGCAGAGCAGTCACGACCACGACAGGTCAACAAACAGCGGTCCGTGGTGGCACCACGTGTACCCGGTGACCTCCAGACACTGCCGGACACCGCTGGAGGTCTGCAGTGAAGTCAGCCCGACACACCTGGGTGTCACCAGCGACCTCCTGCAGACCCCCCGGGTGAAGTGACCTCCCGTCAGTGCCGGACACCCCTAATTGGTGGCCCGATGACTTTTGACCGAGACCCACCGAAGGCCCCCGAGTATCCCAGCGGCATGGGACGGGCGAGAACAGTTTTATTCAAAGTTGCACACAAGCAATACAGCAAAATAGTAGCCATTACTCACAAAAATAGCACTCACTCATAGAGCACACCTCCTTCCTACATACACACACAACCTTTAGGTGACCTATGTGGGGGCACCTGTCGAGCGGCGCGGCGGCAACGCTGGCGTCAGCGGCTGTTAGCAAATGTCAGCGGCCCACCCGAGTTTGTCAGCGGCCCAGCCGCGTGTGTCAGCGGCCCAGCCGAGTTTGTCAGCGGCCCAGCCGAGTGCCGGTCAGACGATCAGCGTCAGACTCATGGGCGAACCGTGAACCGGTGGCAGCACCCCGGGCCCAGGTGGTCTACGTACAGTGGGAAACGACTGCCCAATCCCCTGCTCGAGAGGACGCTATTTAGTGCTGTTGCCACTGTTGTAACGGGAGGACGCTGAAATTTGAAAAGCGAAACCACGGCCTTTGCTGACAGGGCTGACAGCTGGGGACCACACTAAGATGCAGACGCCGAGCCATAAGCCAATAGCCATTGCATCATTGGGAGATGGTTTATGTCGGTTACGGGATGCGTTTCGGCAGATTTATGCAGGCAGTACAGGTGTCTGAGCAGAAGCGGGCCCGGCCAGCCGGTGTCACAACCAGAGCTGCTGGGACGGTCGGCACTTCCATACAGGTCCCTCCGCGCTCCGGGTTCACAAAGTCCGTCCGCCGCGCCGGGCGCCGGTCCCGTTCCGTCGGATATCTGCAGCTCTGCCCCAGTTCATACATCTACTCCATTCACGCGATATTCATGCAAATTGGACCCCTCCCCGGACGAAAATGCATATCTGATGTATTCGCCAACTTCATCCCCCCATAAGAGCCAAAAACTGTCGGTTCCCACCGGGTACATCAGACAGCTTCACCCCCCCCCCCCGTTCTGGTGCCTGGAGGCGCCTCTGCGCGCCGCCGCTTCGCCGGAATCGCCCACGGAAGGCCGGCATGGTGCAACGCCAGTGACGTCACCGATGACGTGGCGTTAATATTAGAGCCAGGCCCGGGGGCGGCCGTCAGCCCCACTACCAAGGTCAGCCGCGGTCTCCGGGCAAACGGTGGGGGCGGGGCCTACACCCCGGGGGCGGGGCAGACAGACGGGGGGCGGGGCAGACAGACGGGACGCAGCGCCACACCCCCAATAATGGCGCCCCGTGTCAATGACAAACCGCTGGGTGAGATAAGATAGTTGAGGAAAGGGTACTCGCTTCATCGCTGTTGGTTCTGCCGTTTTTAGCCCAGATAGGAACGGTCGCTGATGGTTATCCGGTTGTTAGCTTCGACAGCTCCGCGGATGTTCCGCCGTTTTCGTCAGGGCCTGTAGGCACCGCAGTGCCGATGTCGATGCATGTCACCTACAAACGAGGTTACGTAGGCGGCCAAACACTACCTACCTGCACGGCAGCACGTGCACCCTGGACGTCCGTCAAACCGTGCACGCGTCTGTCTGGCCGCCCGCGCCGGTCCGGACCTCCGGCCGGCGTCCTCCCGGAGTTCCAGACAGCACGGCCGTGGCGGCCCGGTCTGCTCCGGGTTCCGGGCCCGGGTACTCGCGAGATGTACCGATATGTGGCCGGTCTCATGAATCACATGCCGGTCCTGCAGAGTAGAGATGCCCTTTTTGAACCCGCGAACCCGCTTTCTGCGGGTTTTCAAAACCCGCAGGGTTTTTGGCGGGTTTGAGAAGCAAAACTTGTCGTGTGGCGGGTATTTGGCGGTCAGACTTAAGAACCTATAATTTTTTTTATTTTTTTTTTTTTAGATGCAAAACACAATGCCAAGTGCATTTGCTCAGGTTAACAATACAACATTCATCAAAACAACTTTTAAAACAGAACCAAATATAAAAATATATCAAGGAAGCACATTTCAAATGCAAAACTGAAAACAACCAGCAATAGCATCCACAGTCTGGCAATGACCAAACCAGGGTACAAGCAATAAACTACTAAGCATAAATAAATGCTGATGAAAGCATTCCATAAAACATAAAAGACCCTGAAAGCAAACTTATAGGAAGCTGAACTGAAGTCTATGTGCACTGTGCAGTGTGCACTAGATATACATTATGGAAGAACCCAGACTTAAATGAGATGTTGAAAATCAGAGCAAATGCCACATGTTACTTTATTTGCGTCTGGTCGGCATAAAAAAGAGCTATCAGCTAAACAAAATTTGATGCAAATTCATTGATTACCTATCCTACTCTATGTTCTGTTCCACCCTATATTACGAAAATAACACACCAATCACCCTTACAAAAAATCAAAATATAGACTGGCCGGCCCAAACATAACGCAATACAATACTGGCGCACTTCCGACATTCTGACAAGGATGGGCATTTGACTGCGTCAATTTTGGTCTCTGAGGTGAAGGAAAGCTGTCATTGATGACGCAATAATTTTCAATCAGTTTTTCTGTCTTGGTTTTTGAATGCCTCAAAATAGCAGTTATACATGTTACAAAACCACGTAGCTGCGGCCGATTTCATAAAGGTTTGGTAGTAATTTACACCTAGGTGCATTTCTCACCCCTCAAAACTACAACCATACTGAGGGAGCGGTTTCATAAAGCTCGGAGGGCATAAATTTCGGCAGTTGTAGTTTTCTGCTTGCTTTGATTGCATTTTACTACCAACAGAACTTTAATAAATATTTTAATTCTGTGAATTATCAAAGTATTAATATGAAATGACTTAATTATTTTAATTCATCAATAATAAAATTAAATATGATGTTTAAAACAATAATTAATAGGTAATCAGACAAAAATTTATTTGCTATTCTTGCATTAGGAATTGTAAACAAAAACAATCGTCCAAGGCCATAGAGAAACTACTGCATTCATTTCGGCCGGCTGAATTAGGTTCAGGATATTGATATATATAAATCCCTTTTGTACATTGATTGCTTGGGTGTTCATTTGTTTCTGATATATATGTTTCAGTGTTTGATTTATGTTTTGATGTGTCCAAACGATCAACGATGAGAGCGTCGCAGTGAAACAATCAATAAGAACTTTAATAAATATTTGGCTTTGTGCGCACGTTAAACTTTGGACTCTAAATTCTGCCATAGAATCGGAATTGCGCGATCGGAGGGTAGAGGGCAGGGTCATCGCAACAAGCTTCGCTTAGCGGTGGCTCTGTCCTTGTGAATCCTTCCCATCAAAAGGTTCGGACTAAATTTATAAAAAAAAAAAAAATAAGCTGCTGCCCAAGGTTTGGCCTTGGTTGAGTTTCAGTTTGGTTAGAAGGCATAGCGCCTCTCCTTAGTTCAAGTTGCAAAAACGAGTGCGACGACTGCTAGTTCTGACTACTGAAATGTGAGTATTACATCACTTGCCTCACACAGCTTCTGCTAATTGATGATGTGGGTACTGGGTAATCCACAGCAACTGGTGTCAGTGTTCATGTGTTACTGTTACGGCATAGTTGATGCAGCAATGCAAAGTATCTATGTACCATGAATTAACAACTCAATCTTCTGCCAAGGTCAGGGTGGCAACATGAATGGTTTTGAGTATAAGGATGATGAAACTATTTCAGGCTATGTCAATACAAAAGTGGACTAAAAAGTGTTTGTCATTCTGATTCCATAAAAGCATTTGCAAATACTCATTGGTAATTTGAATTGCTGTGTCTTTTGTCAAAATCCCCATGAATATTTCTATTGACAAAGTACACTGTACAGGTATTTTTCCTGTAGTAAGTACAGATACTGCTCAGGTGCTGTCACCCGTTTGTGCAAACTGCAAAGTCTCCAGACTTGTCAGTTCTCGAGATATTTACACAAAATTTGCTTAGAAAAGTCATCAAATAGTCTAACAGAACAAAACATGCCTCATCTAACTTGACCCAACTTTACCTTATAACCTACAACCTACCACCTACCAACCTGCCACCCAGCAACCTACAAACCTACAACCTACCACCCAGCAACCTACAAACCTACAACCTACTGCAACTTTTGGTGAAATTTGTATAGATATCTTCAGAACTGGCGAGTCTGGTGACTTCACAAACAGGTGGCAGCACTGGAGCCACTAGCTAAGCTATAAGATTGCCAACAGCCAAAGTAAGGTTGTTATTAATATCCTTAATCCTATTTTCCAGCTGCTGAAAGGAAGACTGGAGGGCCTTTAGCAGCAGTAGCAGTGGAACTTGGAAGGCTGCCTTGAGGCTGCCTGGCTGGCCTCTACAACAGAGACGAAGTTTAGAAGTTATTTGTCAACAATGTTGTCCATATTGCAAGAGGTGAGACCATGTACCTATACTTTATTACCCAGGGTAGGTATGGTAGGCAGTTTCCCATAATTTGTTGATTTGGGAGGGAACAGGCAAACATTTAAATAAAATCATTTTGCACTAATCTCTGGCTTTTGAGAGCAATTTTCCACTTCCAATTTTACCAAGAAAAACATTTGCATGTCTAGTCATTAGTTGTATGGCTGTATTACAGTGATGTATTGGGGAAGAAGTTAACAAAACGTGATAACGTTGTTAGTGCATTCAAAGATCTAGTACCGTTTGGCATTAGATTGTAGGTTGGTACATTTGTTGACATAAAGCTAACAAATTAAACAGGCTGGCATTTTAAACAGACTGTAACAGTCTTACTGCCATAATTGATTACAGGCACCGGTTGTTTTCAGTCAAACTCAAGTTTTGAGGCAAACATTTCACATTTTTTTATTTTGTTTCAGTTGTGCTAATTGTGTTCCAGCTTATAAGGTCTTCAGAATGCAATTAAATGTAATGCATGTAATGCACGCATGTTGCAGGTGGCTAACGAGCACCAACCAGCGTGTGCAGCAGCCGTTCCGTTGTAAACGGTGCGCTGACCGCGGAGCCGGGGGTTGTCGACCGCCGGCTGGCACTCACCACCGTCCACCCCAAGCTGGCCATCATCGACTGGCTCGAGCACACCAGCACGCTGAACCAGTTCATCAGCTCGACGTGCCCCGACTTCGAGCAGTAGTGCGCCGAGACGCGCGAGCTGTTCAGTGGGAGCAGATGAAGCGACATGGGACTCAGAGCGGCGCCACTGACGTGCAGCTGCAGCTGATCGGAATCGACAGGACACGTGTTCGCGGCTCGGCCACCACTCATCAGCCTGCTGCTCGTGCCGTTCCGTCTGACGGCGCAGATGACCGGCCTGGCGGCGTCTCTCGACGCGTCCGGCCACACCCGGCTGCAGGCGCTGCGCTCGTCGCTTTGGGTTGTAAATGCCGGTGAGCAGTGAGGGTTGCCTCGCTGAGTCGTGTGGGCGCTCGTCACTGTAGAGGTCGCTGTGAGCGCTGTGCTCCTCTTCGACCAGAGGATAGGTGGCGGTAGCGGTCGGTACGCAGTCAGCAGCGTACTGACACGTCATATACCGATTGAAGGTCTTCAGTGCGTTATGAATATGGCGCGGGTAGCTCGATTCCGGCGGCGGCGTGACACGGTGACCCCGTGACCTCTAGCCGTGTCGGTCCGTGTGCGCGGCCCATTCGCCCCCGACTTGGGTTGTCGATGGCGGCTGCCGGTGCCCTTAAAATCGTACGTGTTTTAAACAAATTAAAGGCAAGTGATAGTGATATCAAAAAGGTATAATTTATTTTCCTAATGATTTTATTGCGTGCTTTGACTGAGTGTCTTGATTTACGTTTGTTTGCTTTCAAATTTACGATAATACAACAGCACAGGGTCAAAAGGCGGTTAAGACGTAGAACAGTAGCTGTTACATTGAGGCTTTGTACGCGAGCCGGCCGGCCGAGTGATAACTGTGCGCGCGCGCCGTATAAGAGATACTGATTCGGAGATACTGATTTCCAAGATCGTCGAGCGCCAAGTTCTGCGATGGCAATATCTCCTGAATATAGTGAACACTGAACACAGCGACAGATAACAACGCCTTGACAATTGTTTTCGTCGTAATACGTGCTACTCAAAGAATGCCACGAAGGTGTGTCGTTGCTTTATTTGCTAGTCCGCACATCTGAGATCGTTTGAGACAAGTGTTTGAAGTTTAACCGGAATCGCTCTGATAGCTGCGATGCAAATTCCAACAGCTGTTATTCTACTAATGAATAGGTAATTATGCTATTGCTGGCCATGAATTGTGAATAAATCACAAATTTTGTAAAAGCAAGGATTGTTTCCGACCGGACCAAAGCACACATTTTCAGAAATTTTGGCGGGTGGGGTAGGAAAGGGACGCAGCCGGCCGCTGACTGCACGTTCAGGTGCGTCGTGGCGTCGCTGATGAAGTACACCGTGCATATGTTTATCACCAAGAAATTCATGCATTGTGATATAAAATAAACAATGAAACAATTCCAAGCGTAACCACCCAGACAGACGCCGATCCGCCCCCAACATGGCAACACGCTAATAATTTCCTCGAAACTCGCTGAAGACGACTCGCCAACCATTTTGAGCAATATATGCCCCGCTGCGGAGGCGAATAGTTCACTCGCCCACTCGGGGACGCAGCCGGCCCCATCACACAGTGTCAGGCACTGAAACGGTTTGATATAGGCGGTTTTACACAGTCTGGTCCAACTATTATGGGACGCGCTTACCGCGGGCGCCGCAGTGCTCGCACACGTGCAGCGGAGCCGCTTGTCCGTCCACGTACTCGCTGGCGCCGATCTGCTCGATCAGCGACAGTATCTGCTGGGCGGTCTGCTAGCGCGCCACCTCGGCCAGGGCGGACGGACGGCGGGCGGGGCAGTCGGAGAATTGGTGCCGCTGTCCGGGGCCGCCACGGAATGGCCAACAATCGGCTGCGACACCAGCTGCTACAGCTGGGCAAGCTGCTGGCGGCCCTCGTTTAGCGTGGTCAGTTCGCGCTCCAGAGCCTCCTCTCACAGAAGCGATTCTCGAGCTGTGCCAGCGCCGAGCACAGCTTCTCGTGCTCGGCAGAGTCCACAGCGCCGCCGCCCATGAACTGCTGCAGCCATGCGCGCAGCTCCTTCTGCTCTCTAATGATGTTCTCATAGGCGGCCGCGGTCCCGGTGACTGGATGCGGCTGGAGAGGCTCGGAGATGCGCGCGGAGGCCACTCCAGCGCTCCGGGTTCCAACACGGAACCGGCAGCGGACGGCACGGCCGTTGTGTGATGAGCCAGGACGGCTTCTCCTGATGTGCCCTCTGCATCAGCTGGCTGCTCACGGCTGGCGCGCTCTATGGGACACGGACACCGTGTTACCGTTAGACGATCCACTAACGTGTTATCATGGGACAAAAAGGGAGGTGTAAGATGCAATACTCTGTGGCGTGCTCTATTGGAAGAGTGGGGAAAAGTGTAAGATGCTGCTATGGGACATGGAAGCAGATGTAAGAGAAGAAAATCTGCCCGAGCTACCACATGCAGATTTTCTTCTCAAGATGCAGGGCTGGAAAATGATCAAAATCACTTCATGTTACATTTTAATTGGATAATACATAGGTACACAATACAAACAAGACAGTACTTTGTTCCATTTCCAGCCATTGCCAAAAACAATAGATGCTTTATGTATGCAAAGCTCCTATATGAAGCGAAGCAAATTATTGAACGAAGAAGCAAATTGACAAAGAACCTTTGACCATACTAGGCCATGGGTGGAACTTTTCAAAGGAAGTTGGGTTATCAATTCATAAAGCAGGCGTCTCATATGCTGGCAACAGTTTTGCGAAAAGTTTCTAGAATCCAGTTCTTGAGATATTAACAAGAATATCACTTTGAGCTACACATTGTAAGTGTTAGGTTTGCGTTTTTAGGATTTAGGTTGTAGGTTGTTGGGTTGTATGTTAGTAGGCAAGGTTAGGTCAGATGATATTATTCTATTAAAGGGACCTTCCCCACTTTCAAAAAAGTTAATGAATTGGCATAAAAGTTAGGTCCCGTGGTTCAGAAAGATCAAGAACAAAAATCGACCAAATTTCAATGAAAAATATTCACTGGTGTCAAGATATTTGACTTAAACTTGTGTATACTTTTTGGGACCTCTGCTGTTCCTATTACGTCATTTGGTAGCAATAATTTGGCATCCTTAAGCTCGGCAAATGTGCACAAATATATTTTTTTGACTTTCATATGCCATTTCATACAAACATCTCAAGGAATGGAGTCAAGCAACTTTCTATCAACAGTTGGCCGCATGTGAGACACCTGTTATGGTGACAGCGGAAGTTGGTGAGGCAAAAAGATGTCAAACCTACAATATCTGACTGTTACGTAGAAAAAAATGCTACACTATCCATTTTTTGAATACAAACTAATTTTAGGAATACAAAGACATTTAGAAGTTGCGCATTGCAAATGACATTGATTTAAAGAGCAACAACGACCTACCTACCTCCAACTTACTAAGCTACAGCCTATCAACCTACAGGCTACAATCCATTCGGCATTCAGGCCTTTTGTATACTGATAATAATACCAGAAGCCTCTTTGGGTATAGCAGCTCACCTTGGTTGGAAGACCTTCAATTGATGTAGGTATGCACTCCAACTCGCAATACTGACAACTTGAGACCAGTGAATCTGTTGATGATGACGGGCAAAAGTATTAATATTAATATCAATATAAGTACCTACATATGATGATGTAGCTGACAATTGACATATCAATATTACACATCACTTGTGGCAAAAAGCATTATCACACTCATTTTATATATTACCATGTCAATGTTGAAGAAAGAACATTCAAGTGGCTCCCTGCAAACTCTCAGTCTCAAATCTTATCAACTATACCAACAACAAATTTCTGCCAACAATACATTCTCGTGGTCTACAAACAAAGTTGAAGTATCACTTACTGCCTTCAAAGCTCCGGATTCTTGGTCAAATAGTTATTTCAAGATAAATAGGTAGAAAATTCGACTCATTTCCACAATTCGATGTTCAAAACAACTGGTGATGTCAAGTTTGGTCAAAGTTATGCAGCTCAGAGCAACGCAAAATTTTGTGGGATATCAAGAACATGAAAAATTACTTGAGTGTAAAATGCATCGCTTTATGAAACCGATCTGCTGCATTTCTCTCCAAAAACAGCTGTTGGGCATAAAAGTCGACGTAGTAGAATTTCGGTCGCAAAATACAACCCCGTTTTCTTTATGAAACCGCTAGGGCATAAAATCCGGCAAAAACGGGTGGGAAATTGCGCCGGATGTATTTTACTACCTTTTATGAAATCGGCCGCTGGTCGCATTTATTTCTTTTGTCTTTTTACGTCCTTATCATTTGTATGCCGACAGATGACCAGCCGGAGAGCATTACCAAGACCATCTATAAAATCATTACATTTAATTTAGTATTTACTGTCTCTTTATTTCTAAACCGGTGATTAACCTCTAAATTGTAAAACTTTAGCTGTTGTGTAAAATAATTTAATCAGAATGGCACATGAATATGCATTATACAACAGTGTTTTCGCAACAAGTTCGACTAACTACGGCCGCAATAATTTAGTCGCTGTAACATTCCTTCATCAGCTGTTGGTGACGCTTCTGACGCATGTTTCCAGAAATGCGTGGTTCATTGGTGGTTAGTTGCAAGGCCATATATGTTATTATACACTGAAAAAATTTTTACTCAGTTTTCTGAGTAATAACTGAGTTGCCATTTTGTCCAATGGTAAAACTCACTCTAAATCCGCGTACTCAGGTAAAACTCAGGGCGGAACGCAGGTAAAACTCGGGAAAAACTCATTGCAAGTGAGTAGCATGTGAGTAACAAAGTGAGTTGCCATTTTGTCCGATGGTAAAACTCAATTAAAACTCAGTAAGTACTCATGCGTAGCTCATGTCCTACTCAGACAACTCAGGCCAAACTCAGGTATTAGTAAGTCATTACTCATGAAAAACTAGGAAGTAACTCACATGTAACCCAGCTGGTACTAATGTATAACTCAGGTGGTAGTACGGCCATAACTCAGTTGGAACTCATCGGTTATTCAGTGAAAACTAGGGCTGTACTCAGGACGTACTCACATCGATAACTCATACGATACTCGGGTGTTACTCAGCCTCAGGCGCCGCCTGAAACGGCTGATCTGATTCGTTTTATATTGGCTCAAGCCAATGTATAGGCTTGCCGCCCATGATAACAGCTGCTGCATCAGCATTATGCAATATGCATGCATGATGCTGATACAACAGCCACTACCAGGCAGCTAGTCTATATATTGGGATTGGCCAATATATAACGAATCATTGCCCAAAACCAGCATACATATCTGTATTATACCATGCCCGACCAACGTCTAGTCTTGCAATATTCGCCCCAGCCCTTACAAGAAATACGTGTTTGTAGAAACGGTCGCATTGCGCTGTATTTCAATTCTGACACACGCCAAAATGCGTCGGGGGGGGGGGGATCGACTCCACGTCAGCTCAGCTTCACTCTTTTGCCAGCTTCTCGACCTCAGTCTTCGCGGCTACAGGTGGCTGGCGCTCAGCATTGAATGGTGTGTGGAGCACATGGATACACACAAACCACAGCGTGTTTCGCACTTTGTGCGCCGTTTGTTGACTGAGCACAAAGTGCGCCGTCGCCCACAGCAAAAGACTTCCTTCCAAACCATGGATCCCCACAAGACTTTCCGTTCGCCCCACGATGAGGCGGCACCGTTCGTTTCCTTCGGACTTGTTATGATAGGGATGATCCAAATTTTCGTCACCCGTGTACGCCACCACTGACGCCTTCTCCGCCAAGATGCAGAGAGGAGGCTCAATGGGCCGTTCCCTGAAAACACAATAAAAAAGTCAGATTTTCTTTTGCCAGTAAGAGAAACGGAAGTTATAGGGCATGCAAGTTGATTGAAATATCAAAAGTTATCAAGTTACTTCAGCTCAAAATTAATGTTAAACCGCGCCGTGCTGGTGCTCTGAGTTTACCGTGATGTACTGGGGGGGGGGAGGGGGTCGTATTCACGTCCCCTCTTCTAACTCGGCTGTTGAGTGTTGGGCCACGTAGCGACACGCAGTAAGCGGCATTCGAAAAAGCATAAAAGATATTTAAGGAAATACTTGGGTAATTTTTAAGGTCAAGTCAAGTGCCAGGTCACCAGAGGTCAGGAAAGGCCAAATTTTGCTTACTTCAATATTTTCGAAAAATCTGGTGCTTAACTCGGAACCAAAAGAGCTGCCCGCGGAAAAAT